TATAGTGACATGTGTTAATGTGCTGGACTGCAAAGTCAGTTTGAACTACAAGGTTGGTGGGGTTCAAGCTTACCAGCTGCTCCTCGGAAGTCCTGAGGGTCACTATGAGTCCAACTTGATGGTACAACAACAACAGGTATGGAGGTCTAGCATGGTATCCTCTGTTTCCCCTTAACACATACCATACAGAACATTATTAACTGTCCTCATCTCAAAGTGGGCAAACTCACAAACTATTGCAAAAGCTATCAACCCCAAAGTTTGTACGGATTCCCTTTAGTAATGTGGACAAATCCTTCAATTGGCCAAACTTCAGTTTATTAGTAACCTGCTAAATTAAACAAAGGGAGATCAAAATATTCTTTTTAGTAGACATACATGTTTGGTAAAATCTGTTAGTTCAAAATACTTTTGCAGTTAGAATCCATCTTATCTTTGGAGGGGGAAAAAAAAAGACCTGCTTGGAAAAAAACTGAGATTTTAAATGCACCTTCTTAATGTTTTTTTTCCGAAGAATGCTAAGCCTTTAATCTAAATTTAAATGTCTGTACTAATAGGGATACTCACGCCATTTTGTACTATCATCATCATTAAAAATTTTACAAAACCCTGTGAAAAACTAAAAAGTCTTTTTATTCCTATATTTTGTGCCATAAGAGACATGATTAAAATGACAAGTTCCCAAATAACATGAATAATGCATTTCCCCTTATCCAAAGCAAATGCAGTTTGCTCCTAAGAGATGTTTAATCCATTCCTTTTCTTTTTTGGGTAGATATAAGGGGGAAGAGAAAAAGAGTAGGATGAAAGGACTTGCAGTTAGAATTAGCATTTAATAAAAGACACACATTTAACTTATGATGATAAAATAATTGCTGTATGAATTTTGAGTTTAGACATAGGTAGTGAATTTTGATATGAATGAAAAGTGAATTATATTTATGTTAACATTCAAGGTTACCTCTTTGGGAGAGGATTATTAAAGTCAAGGTCTTTATTGTGTCATAGAAAATGTGAACAATCTTATTATTAGGAGTTCTTTACATATATAGGTCCGCGAATTTACTTCAGAAAGTTCCATGAATACATGTGTACAAAAAGTTTCAAGAACATATTAATGTTTCAGTGCTAATATGAATGGTCGATTGAAACCAGTACCACTGCGAATGAGGCTTTGGGGAAGATGTTGTTAAGTTAAGTACCATGGAGTTGGTTCCGACTCATAGTGACCCTGCACAGGGTTTCCAAGGCTGTAAATCTTTATGGGAGCAGAAAGCCTCATCTTTCTCCCACGGAACCATTGGCAGTTTCGAACTGCTGACCTTGAGGTTGGTAGCCCGATTCGTAACCCCTATGCTAAGGAACTATGACTCCTTTAAAGTCCTAGTTTCTTGGATTTGCTCACTTTCCAATAGCTGGGACAAAAAAGTAGTCCAGGGCTTCAACTACCCTGGGAAATGTCTATGTAACAAGGAGACCCAGGGTTGGAATGGTCAATGAACCAAAATCTCCTTTAAGTGCTTTTCTTTGGACTCATCTTTCCTCACTATGAGGGTGGTAATACTTTGAGAAAAACAAGATTGGGGAAGGAAAACAAGATTTGGGGTGAGTAGAGAGGAAGAGAAGACCTTTCAACTTGCATCAAACTCTAATAACTTGATTTGATCCAACTTAACCTATCAGGAGATTCCTTTGGGATTTTTCAGTGGAAGCTCCAGCAAATAATACAAAATGTGTATTTACATAGGCTTTTCCTTTGTAAATTTCTCTGCTTCATGGACTTGTACAGGCAAAAGCGGTCATAGGAGGTAGCTGGTCAAGTCTTCAGGATTTTGGGTTATATATCACTATGATTTAAGTGACTGCTTGGCCAAAGTTCAAATAATAGGTACATTTAAATAAGACAAGAAAGTAAGGGTTCAGAACTTCAAGAGATAGAAGTCCGTTGGGAAGCATTTTCCAAGACATTTCTATAATTTTCTTTTAACGATAATTGTTGTTAAGTGCTGTCCAGTCAGTTCTGACACATAGTGCCCCTGGACAGAATTTCTGAAGTGCAGTTGGTGAGTTTGAACTGTCAACCTTGTGGTTAGCAGTCCAGTGCTTATCCAACAGTACGACACCTCTGCCTTATGGAGGATGAATCAAATTTGTTCATGGTGAAACTCCATGACAACAACCCACTAAGTCTACAAAAGAAAAGGTTTCTGATTCCAAGGATGTTTAATTCTGAGATTGTTGTTGTTATTGTTAAGTGCTGTCGAGTCCATTCTAACTCATAGCGACCCTGAATAGGGTTTCCAAGAAGCAGCCAGTGAGTTTGAACCACTATTGGTCAGAATCGACTCAACAGCATTTAACAACAACAACAACAACAACAAATCTTGGTGTGGTGCAATGGTTAATTTGCTGTACTACAAAGTCCGTTTGAACCGCAAGGTCGGCAGTTCAAGCGCACCAGCAACTCCCTGAAAACCCTATAGTTTTCGCTACGGATCAAAACTATGGGTCGAAACTGACTCGACGGCACTTAATAACAACAAATCCTGGTGTGGCACTGTAGAAAAAGCACCAGAGCATAAGATCGGTTTGAATGGCAAAGTCAGGTTGGTGGTTCAAACTCACCAGACACTCCTCGGAAACTCTATATTGTTGTTGTTGTTAGGTGCCATCGAGTCAGTACCGACTCATCGAGTCAGTAGCGACCTTATGCACAGTGGAACGAAACACTGCCAGATCCTGGGCCAACCTCACTATTGTTGCCACGCTTGAGTCCATTGATGCTGCCACTTGGCCAATCCATCTCACTGGGGGTCTTCCTCTTTTTCTCTGACCCCTCACTTTGCCAAACATGATATCCTTCTCGAGCGACTGGTCCCTCCTGACAATATGTCCAGAGTATGAGAGACAAAGTTTGGCCATCTTGGCCTCCAAGGAGCACTCTGGCTACACTTCTTCCAAAATGGATCTATTGGTTCTTTGGGCAGCCCATGGCACTTTCAATATTCTCCTCCAACACCATAACTCAAAGGCATCAATTCTTCTACGGTCTTCCTTATTCACTGTCCAGCTTTCGCCTGCATATGAGGTTATTGAAAACACCATGGCTTGGGTCAAGCGCACCTTAGGGTCCATATTAGTCGGAAACATCCTACAATAATGCTGAGTACTTGGTATGTAATTAGGAGTCCCAGTGTGCTGTAGGATAAGCACTAGACTACAAACCACAAGATTGGTGATTCAAACCTCAAAAATCTATACAGGGTTGTTATGTGTAGGAACCAACTTGATGGCACTCAACAATAACAATATGAAATTAAGAAGCCCTGGTGGTGACAGAGGACAACCACTGGATGCTAACTGCAAGGTCAGCAGTTCAAACCCACTGGCCACTCTTCAGGAGAAAGATGAGGGTTTCTGCTCCCGTAAAGATTTGCAGCCTTGTACAGTGTTGCTAGGACTTGGAATCAACTTGATGGCAGTGAGTTTTTTTTAAATGCGTAATTAAAAAACATTAATAGCTTTTAAGAAAAAGTCTTGTCCTCAGTTATGTGCTAAATTTAGTAGGAAACACTAGCAAACCCACAAGAGGATAACATGGGTAATAGCTGGTAATTCAGTTCAGTTTCACATAAAGTGGTAAGGAGATTGGAAAGTCTCTTCCCTCTTTCCAGCAGAGTAATACCGAGTAACAAGTAACATAAAAGAACCAAGAAGGAATTACTAGATAACTGGTGTTCTCGAACTTCACACTCGGAAGTACTTCTTTATCGCTGACACGTAGAAAGGAAAGAAAACAGCAAATGGGACCAGAAGTAAGGATGATGTTTTTATAAAGTGGAATGCAAGAACTCGCAGCACTGAGTGATGTCATCTAATTACCAAATTCAAATAACTTTCAAATTTTCAAAGCTCCAAAACAGGATGTCTAACATATTCATAAAATGTCCCTTTACAAGCCACCCACATTCATAATGAATCTAGGCCTTCAGAATAGAAGTAAAAATAACCACATTCAGCTCTTGTAGCAATAGATGATAATCATGAACAGAGTTGCTCAGAAACTGGACTCATTTTGCTCTTTGTTCAAATGGAAAATTCCCCTTTTCACCGACAGAGTTGCCAAAACGTTCAATTTGATGTTGGGAACAATGTTTTGCTTCTCCTGAATTGCTAAAATTACTGTACTCTAAAATTGGGTAGCTAAGATATAGCTGTATACAATTTGCTTGGGTAAAGTATAGAGATAAATTTTTTAAAATAAATGTTTAAATGTATCAGTGCTTTCAACCTGTCTCTTACAGTTGCTGCAGTAGGGATTTTTTTTCTCCTAGAAATTACCCACTACAGATAAAGACTGAGTAATTTAAAACATTTTTTCTTCTCTCTTAAATTCTGCATGCTTTTATGTCACTTTCTAATAAAAAGATTCTAAATACTGAGGTTTTTGGGTAGAACCATTTAAAGATATTTCTCCAAAATGTTTTGCTGGAAAATCACATACATCACTCATTGGTATTACAAGAATCTTAAGCTTCCTAAGGAAACCAAGTCCCAGAATTTTACAAGTGGTCTTTCAGGAGTAAATCCAGGTTCAAAGAGATGAGAAGATAGGAGCAGTATTTTATTCCGCACATACATGATCTGCTATAGAAAGTTTGAACCCCTTTGTTCTGCTGGGTATTTCTCAGTAAAGAAATAGATGCTGCTGTGAAAATCACCCTCCAAAAGAAGAGGCGAGAGTAAATGAATGGGTGGGAGTTGATACAAATTCAAGTCATGTTACAAAGGAATTGCACACAAGATGAATCCTCACAAGTTGGCAAAGTTTCCCCAAGTCTCGCTTTTATGGAAATTGTTTCCTGAACAAGTTGTACAGAATCCATGTCTATGCTCCATGAAATAACATGATTCTTATTACCAAATTGGAATTATTTAAGATCACCAAATAACAGGGTTCAAAAATAAAACAGCTGAAAAATCCAACCATCCGGTCTAACCTGGGATGCTCTGTCTCCTCACAGCCAATGCTCCATCAGGCGGCTTTGTCTGGCTGGCGGATTTAGTGTAGGGGCTCTCATCTGCAAAGGTACAATGAAGGGTTTGGTTAATTTCCATCCAGTTTCTAGTGCGCTGAAGATTTTTAATGGATAGTAATCCTTTTGCCAGAAAGACACAGTGGAAGAGTTGGTAGACTTGGATTCTAAGATTAGTTCAACTCTAGGAGAAATCATTTAAAAATGTTGAGCATCCATTTCCTCCTCTATAAAAGAAGGATATATGTTCTCTTCCACCTTTAAGGGTTGTCAGGATCAAAAGTCATAGTGTATCTGAAAACATTTATAAAGTAGTAAGAAGTATACAAACATAGTATACAAATGACTTGCCTGTCTCCTATATTCAGTGATAAATATCAGTGAATATGGGTAACAGGAAAATAAAGAAGGAATACCATGGCTCAATGGGTACTAAAAATAATCAAGTAGAAGAACAAAGAAATGGAAACAAAGGTAAGAAGATGACAAAGCATTAGTATTGTATTGGGAATAAAGACACAGGGTTTAGTGGGTTTCTCATGGGTGTGTGAACTGGATAGGTGCATTCAGAGACAAGACCAAAGAAGCTTAAAGAGAAGAAAAGGAAGGATGGGGTTTGGTGTAAGAAGTAAAATATTGCAGTGAGCTAATTAGACCTTTTTTAGAAAGAGATGAAAATAATGTGCAGAACCATCTAAAAGAGCAACTGAAAAGAAAGGAGGAAAGCTCAGTATATCTGGGAGAGTTAGGCAAGAAGCTGAACGATCAATCAGAACATCAGGGGACAAGATCATAGCGGTGATAGATCCATCTGATTCTCAGAAAAAGCATTTTCTTTTTCCCCATCTAGGAAGGGATTTGATCAGGCTCAGAATATAAGAGTAATGATGTAGCATATAGCATGGCAAAAATTAGAGCGAAAATAGAAATGAAGAATTCTTCCTACTTTGGATGGGGGCATGCGTATAAAAAAAGGAGATGTCTGAGTATCAATCTTTAAAATGTTCAAGAATTGACTAAACATATGTAAACTTATCTAGCATATCCAATCAAGCTAGATGACCCAAATGTTTCTTTTGGCCACAGAGATTTGTTTGTTTGCTTTTTAAATAGGAAATCATTAAAGGATTAGAAAGAACTGTATTGTGCTTGGCAAACTATTAAATACAACAAGGATTTAATGCAGCAACAAGGCTTTATCGCTGAAAACATTTCATCCTCCCAACAAAGTGGTTTGTTTTCAAAATTCAGGCACTAGATTCGTCTCTAGGATGTGCTGGTTGAAATGATTCATGATTTCTTCCCAAGACTCACAAGGTCTTTATAAGCAATGACAAAAAGGAAAGATTAACATTACCGTAAGCTGCAATTAACTTAAAAAACGGAAGCCACACTGTTTCATGTTTATGTACCGTTTGTCACACAATCTTTTTTACATTCTTCCAACCATAGAGATAAATTACTGACTTTCAGATACCAGTACAGCCAACAAAATCATTTTAGCTCATGAAGCTGTAGCCTATGACTTACTCTTTCCTTTTCAAAAACAATTTTGAGAATAACTACAAACCATACAACAAAGTATTACACTACAAAAAGTCTCTTTTGGCCCCATGTTTCTATCTGAATATATGGTGTTCTTCTCACCATGGCAATTGAATAGCCAGGCAATACATTTTACATTGTTGTTGCTGTAGGTGCTGTCAAGTCATATCCGATTCACGGTGACCCTATGCACAAAAGAACGAAACACTGCCCAATCCTGCACCATTCTCACAATTGTTGTTAAAAATGCTTAACGCCACCGCTGCTGCCATTCTGTCAATCAATCTTGTTGGTGGAGGGGTGGTGGTGGTGTGTGTGTGGGGTCTTTCTCTTTTTTTGCTGACCCTCCACTTTACCAAGCATGGTGTTCTTCTCCAGTGGCTGGTCCCTCCATGTTTTATATTTGTTACCATCGAGTCAGTTCGGACTCACAGTGACCCTGAATAGCATTTTCAAGGAGCGGCTTGTGGGTTTGAACCACCGACTTTATGGTTAGTTGTTGTCGTTGTTGTTGTTAAGTGCTTTCGAGTCAATTCCAACTCATAGCAACTCATAGCTGACCCTGCAGTTGAAACCAACCTTGCAGTCCAGTGCATGAACCCTCAGAGCCCCACCAGGATCTGTGAAAACAAACCCTACAATATGGTAACATCTGGGCATCTCTACAATATTATCTGTAAAATATGGAAACAGCCTCAGAACATTTGTTGTGAGCTACACTTTGATCTATTCCAGGTTTTCTTTTTCTAGATTTATGCATTTATTCATTCCTTCTAAAGTCATCATCCAACACTGACTTACTATATGTCAAACATAGGTGATTCTTTCTGGAGTCGTTTAGGCTAATAAGCCCCCAAAAGTATCGCCCTGAGATAATCTTTAAATCTTAACTCCAAATTATCCCCTTAACTGTCTTTGAACTAAAAAAATAGCCTCTCTTAATAATAAAGTGTGATTGCTTTAAGCATTGTACACTTTAAAACTTTATCTAGGTGAGATCAAATTGATGACAATGCCGAAGATTGGGAAGCTTACTGAGGGGGAGGTGAATTTAAGATAAGGGTGGAGGAATAATTTGAAAAAAGACAGCAAGAAGTCAACTTGAAGAATGTAACCATTGTTACTGAATAATACCTGCAGAAATCATCGAAATGGTGTATATTTGACTATGTATATTTTTTACCAAAATCATAAAATTTAAACCAAAAGAACAAAAATATCTGTGATTCTTTATGAAACCAATAAAACATTTATTTTTTTTCATTTTCACACTAGGATTTGTTGGACCTTTAAATTTGTTGTTGTTAAGTATTGTTGAGTTGGTTCCAACTCAAAGTGACCCTGTATAAGGTTTGAGGAGCGGCTGGTGACTTTTAACCACCAACCTTACGGTTCAAACCAACCTTGTGGTCCAGTGTTTATGGATTCTGATTTTCATACCAGACTCTTAGCCTTGGCTTTGATGGTGGAGCATATTAACAAGAGATCCTTATTCTATAAGTCACTATATAGCTGGAAGGCTATTCTTCAGAGAAATAAATACTGCAGGTCATCATTAAGGGCATTTCTCACGGTATCAGAACTTCCCATCTTTTAGACTGACAAGAGATGATCACATCCCACTGCCATAGGGACTGCATATGAGTCATAATGAGGAAGAGCAGCGGTCTCCTTTATAGTGACATCCCGTGAGGTTATGGAAAACGCCTTCCATTAATGGTGTGAATTGACACTGTGATAGAGACAAAGAAAGGGTTTAGCCAAGCATCCATTTACACCAGAAGTGGAACCATGAGGGGGGACCATCTGTCCTCATTTCCTCCAATTTGGCCCGTCTTCTCATGTGCCAAACACGGGAGAAGCAAACACAGTTCATTTGTTTTGATTATATTTTCCAAATGAAGCTGGTGTTTACAAACTTGGAAAGCAAACAGTAGGCACCACAGAGCAGTGTGTCGCTCTGTATCACAACCCCATGTTTGAGTGAAGAGTCACATCTTGAAGGATGGACTCAAGTCCCTGCATTTCCCCATGTTTTTAAATGATTGCCTGGCATCCAACAGCATCCTTGTATAATCATGCTGGTTCTTGTCCCTCGTGTTCCCAAGGGCTGGGCTTCCTAGAGTAACCAGTGTAAGATGCTCTAGCTGGGTCCCTGGCTTTGTGGAAGAAGGAAAAAATAATTTCCTTTGGTGGAGACAAATCAGCCTATGCTAAGCAATTCCTGGGAACTGATTTTGTACAATTCAGGCACCTGCTCAGCCAGCAGATCCCTAACTTCTTGATTAGAAAAAGGCATTTTGTGCCATTTGACATTATGCCCATTTCTTAGCAGTGGGAGCACAAGCAGTTCATACCACAATGCTCATGTATGTCATTATGAACTCAGAAAAAAAACAAAAAACAACAACTTGAGTTTTCCATGGATGAGTAAAATGAAATTCATTGTAAAGAAAAGAATTCTTCCTTGAATTCAATTCCACAAACTTTAGTGCATTTTTGTTTTTGTTAAGTGCCGTCGAGTTGATTCAACCCATAGTGACCCTGTATAGGATTTCCCAGGAGCAGCTGGTGACCCTGAACCGCCGACCTTGCAGTTCAAATGACTTTGCAGTCTGACGCATTAGCCCACAGCACCACACCAGGACTTCACACTATATGTAAGTTAAGGAAATGCATCAAAGTGGGTAAAAATATCAAAGTGGATAAATTTCAAGTGCAACAGTGATTGCCAAATCTTCATAAAGTTATAGATTGAGACTGAAGCATGCTTGCCTGATTACCCTGGGGAGAAACAGATGGTGGACTTAGGATACTGGTGGAGCTGGAGTATCAGAAGAGAAAGGGAAACCAACCACAATGGATTGATGCAGAAATCTGCAATCAGAAAACCCAGAACCAAGCCATTTAAGTATTAGCTTTGTTGTTGTTGTTAAGTGCCGTCAAGTCAGTTGTGACTCACAGCTATACTATATAGTGTTCCCAAGGAGCTTCTGGTGGGTTTGAACTGCCAACCTTGAAGTTAGCAGTCCAGTGCTTATCCTCCAATGCTACATCAAGCAAGGGGATTTTATGTAGTGGGGAAGCATAATCATTTCAGTTGAGCTGAGCATGAACATGGATGGGTATTTCACTGTCTGAGGCACTAGGCCTCCAGTTTAGTTTGCTGCCTTGGTGGTTTGATGGCACAGTTTAAAAAAAACCCAAAACATCCTGTAGGATTAACTGTTAACAGGGTTTTGACAGTAAAACTTGTTTTTCTTTTATTTTATTAAAATCTTGTATACTGACAAATACAGTGTCTGGCATGATTTAAAGAACTACAAACACAACAATATGGCCAAATATGTACCCCTCTTCAACCCTGTGGTTGTTAAGTGCCATCGAGCCAGTTCTGACCCATAGCAACCTTGCATAGAGCTTCTGAGGAGTGACTAGTGGGTTTGAAATGCCATCCTTGTAGTTAGCAGTCCAGTGCTTATCCTACAGTGCCACATTAG